TGTTTCCGTATATTATCCCAATATGCAGAATCTAACTGACTTCTTATGTTTATTTTACCTAAAGACTTAATGACTTAAATCTTTCACACTGTATATTGTCCATGCTTTATCCCCACCGAAAAGTAAGCACGGAAAACAAAACAGTGTATTTTTTAAATCACACCCGCACACCCACTCTGCTTTTGTGTATACATTATTGTTAAATTGTCTTTTATAACTTTTACTTCGGCTTGTTCCACTAACTTCAATATTTAATCGTGGTGTTGGCCCACCTAATTATTTTATTTTTAGTTTATCCTCATAAGGCAGAGAACCAAATAAAGTTTTTTGTAAAAACGAAACGCTATTAATTTTAATAACTATAATATCCGTAGACGCCTAAACGAGAATATTCACATGTGCCGCTCACAGAAATAAACCACCACATACCATGTACGAAATATTACTGCATTTACTGCAGCAGAGCCTGTCGCTGTTGCATCCACATAAGCCCATTATGTTCGCGTACTGGGTCACGTGCCTGATTAGCCAATAAAAACAAAGGACGCATCTAACTGTTCGCTGTACACACATTTTGTATATGAAGTTGCATATAATATAAGCTCCTAGATTTATTTTAGCGCGAGTACATTTGGATTCTTTAAATATTTTGTTGATATTTAATATGAATAAATACATAAAATTTTATGTGTTCTGCAGCTCCGCAGCTCTTATGGTATAACCGCCACTGAAGATTATTTTACAGAATCATAAAAACATTACAATATACATAAATATGCATACACAACTGTAATATGTATGTACCATATGTACCACTATGTACTATGTACCATAATAAACAATTAAAAGTAACATTTTTTAATGTTATGTTTAATTTTTACTGTTTACATATACATTTTCCATTAATCTGAATTTTCCAGTACTCCGGCACTCTTAGGTTTTTAATGCTGCCAGATTTGTGAGATTGTACTGTACTAATATATTTCTCTCTATACTAAATGTCATTATTTAAGTGTAAATTTTTTATGATATTTCATTTCATTTACAAAAATACAATTTAAAAATATTTAAAAATCGTACTACATGTAGTTTTTTATAAATATTTTATTATTATACATGGTGGGCAATTTTAATCAACCCAAGTTAATATCTCCGACAATTTAGGTTCTAGTGAAAAATGACTTCTATAAAAGTTGTACGGTTTGATGGGGGAAAACTGTTACTGACCTTAAATTTGACCTTGAGGTCACCGACCAAGGTCGGTCATGATCAACTTCAAATTTTCAAATAGGAGCCCCTATTTTTGATCCCGGAATTGAAGAGCGGAAAATTTTAAGATCAGATGGTCTTTTTGTCATGGGTCAAAATGACCTCATAATGTTACCTTTTACACAAATTTTCCAAATCGCCCTAAAAATTTTTCCAAATCGCCCCAAAAATTGTTCAAAATCGCCCCAAATATTGTTCTAAATCACCCCAAAGATATTCCAAATCGCCTCAAATATTGCTCTAAATCACCACAATTATTGTTCTAATTCGCTCCAAAAATGTTCCAAATCACCTTAAAGATTGTTCTAAATCACCCTGAACACTTTAAATGATCCCAAATTTTAAAGATAGAAACAACCATGCTGGAGTTACTGGCTTGAATATTGTGTAAAACGTAAGATAACAAAAGACACCATCTGAACGTAAAATTTTCTGGTCTTTTCAATTCTGGGTTCAAAAATAGGAGTTCCTATTTGAAAATTTGAAGTTGACCTTGACCGGTGACTTTAAGGTCAAATTTAAGGTCAGAAATAGTTTTTCCCCATCAAACCCTACAACTTTTATAGAGGTAATTTTTTGCTAGGACCTAAACTGTTCGAGATATTAACGTGGGGTGATTAAAATAGCTCATTCTGTATACGTTTACAGATGATGAGGAAGAAATGGCAAGGATCGACATTGATTTCAGCGGCCAAGAGTTTGAGGGCGATGAATTGGAAGATGAAATAGATCAAATTTTTTCATACATATTTAACGGTTTTTTGTAAATAAATATTCGAAAAAAGTTGAATATTTTTATATATGTAGTTACTAGTAAATTTTTTCATTCATAACGTTTTTTATTAATAAATATATTTTTCTATTTAAAACTCAGTGGGCGTGTCTATATTTTTATAAGAATTTTAGTCATATCTTGACTGAATCTGCTCTCCAGTTAATTTTTGTACGCTTACACTGTGACACTCTGTGTATCGGTGATATATAATACAAGTGTACTTTATGCTTTTGCTACTCAATGCTTTAAATTTAGAGTTTAAAGTCTGAATTAGGAGTTTAAAGTCTGAATTCAGAGTTTAAATTCTGTATTAAAGTATGAAATAAAGACAAGATATATTAAATCATTTCTGTAAGCAAATCTATCCGATACATGTTTCCTGCATGAATTTTTTATTATAAGAAAGAACTTAAAATAAATTTAGTATGGCGTAGATAAAATTTTAGTTGTTAAAGGTAATACTGAATATACTGGAAAGCATAATGAATAATATAAAATTAATGTTATGTAACGATAAGTTCTTTACTGACCTGCGAAAAAAAATTTATACACTTGTGCCTCTCTTGAAAATGTGTATCATCTTCAGACAGACTCTGAGGACAACCTGGGCATCTAAAAGTCCATCTAGATGTTACTTTGACAGGGGGTTTCCTGGTAATATGACTGACTAGAAAATTCATTGCAATATCTTCACAATTCATGTATTCATCCACTTTGTCTCTGATGGCTTGGGGTAACCATTTCCAGTATAAATGCAAATAATGCCTGTGCAAGAAAGCAGCACCTGTTAATACCATACTCAGTTCACAACTGTAGTTTGAATTGTACAACCAGCTATTTTTGGTATTAATGTCCCAAGCATGATAGCGACCGGGAAACCCTACTATTCTATCTCTATGTTCTCTCCAAACGCGGAATCCAAAAAGAATTTCATCGTGTCTTAGGTGAGCATCATCATCCACAGATAAAATGGCTTCTGTTTGTAAGTTATCCAATGGCAAAAATCTGTTATTCAAAGAATTTCGAGCAGCTTTGACGATATGAACTGGAGCCCCGATATCAGGCCATCTTAATTCAGGACTAGGAAGTCTGGGGGAATTCCATATTACAACCACCGAATGTAAATAAGGCAACCCTCGGAGTCGGGCAATTGAATCTAACAGCACTTGTTCCCTTTCATAAGTTAAGAGAAGTACTGTGAACTGTTCTCTAGGATTGTTTCCCCCAAGTGCTTCTGAAAACTCTTTGCCAGCCCCTGTAACAATTTGTTAGTATACTTTTCTTGTAAAGCAGCTTTACAAATTAAAAGAAATATGAAGTGATTTCACAAAATATAAATGTATAAATTAAATGAAAAGTCTACTAACTTTATTAATGCATACTTATTACATACAGTGCGAGGGCTATGTGTTATTAATCTGTGATTTATCTTGACAAATTATTTTAGATTTAAAATAAATGCATTGTTGAGAAATTTGAAATAAAAACTGTTCAAGTAAATAATTTTACATATATTTAAAAATTCTCTATAATTATTATTACAAATTTAAGGGTGTGTAAAGTTATACAGGGTGTGTCATTTAACACTCCCGCTGCCAATATCTCCGAAATGAAGAAATATATTTTAGTTCCGGAAGTTGGGGTTGTTAGGTTCCTCGAATAGCTTCAAATTGCAGTTAGAATTGTTAGTTCAAATCTTTCTGGCATGTCGATCCTAAAAAATTTTTCATCCCTGGAACGTGCAAATATAGTTCATCTGAAAGATCCTTAAATTTTGAGTAATTTTTGTAATATAAAGTTTTTCCCAATATTTACTTGTTTTCAAGACATATTGACTTCAATATGCAATGTATGATGTAATAGAAAAATTTATTACTTTATCTAAACCACACAGAGACAAAATATTCTTTTAAAATATTGTTATAATGACTTTATTCACATCACATACTAACTAACAAACAATAAATTATAAAAAAACAACTGATTAACTACAGAAAAAAAATTGTACAATGGTAGATCTTATAACTACTATAGTTAAATTGAAAGATGCAAACTAATAAAACTGTAATTATTGGAAAACTAATATGTGTCATCTGTCATACCATGACATGAGTCACCTATGACTGCATTTTTAATAATATTTGATAAAATACGGTTCGTCTCTGCCCCTTATATGATTTACCATTGTACAATTTTTTTTCTGTAGTTGATCATTCGTTTTTTTTATAATACATTGTTTGTTAGTCAGTATGTGATGTGAATAAAGCCATTATAACAATGTTTTAAAAGAATATTTCGTCTCAATGTAATTTAAATAAAATACATACATTGCATATTGAAGTTGACATATCTCAAAAACAAGTAAATACTGGGAAAAATTTTATATTACAATAATTACTCAAAATTTAAGGATCTTTCAAATGGACGATATTTCCACGTTCCAGGGATCGAAAAAATGTTTAGTATCGCCACACCATCTTTACAGAAAAATTTGAACCAACAGTTCTAACTGCAATTTGAAGCTATTCGAGGGACCTAACAACCCCAGTTTCCAGATTTAAAATAAATTTCTTCTTTTCGAAGATATTGGCAGGGGGAGTGTTAAATGGCACACATATATCACTACCAAATTTCAAATATTTGTTCTCAGATGTTGTCAAATCTTGTAATTTTAAAAAAATATGTTTTATTCTATTAATTTGTTTTCAAAATCGTAGTTTTAGTCCTGTTACCTTGTTTATTATAATTTTTTATTGGTTTCTCCCAAAATACTAATTTGAAACTAATTATACACAGCCATCATAAATGATTACAAGCCACGTGACCAATAATTTTGTTTGGAACAGTAATTTTATTTCCTGCTCATAAGCAATTAAATTTTGGTAAAATTAAAAATTATTAAAACAGTAATATCAAGATTACATTAAAACACAACATTCTGTTTCGCTAGCTGATGATTGGTGTAATTTTTCACAAGATTTTATTCAAACCAATAGGTAGACGCAATGGTTTGTTGGTGTTCATAGTAAATGAATCATTAATATTGATGATGTTAAGATTTAGGGATTACTAGTTGACAGTATCAGCTGTGCAATGTTGGTTGCCTAAGCTCAGCGGTCATGTGGCTTGTAATCATTTATGAAGGCTCTGTACAACACAATTTAAAAAATTAAAGGAACGGTAAAAGAATAATCTTCAACTTTTAACATTTTGGGAACAACTAGGAATAAATATTAGATATTTGCTGGTGACGTATAACTTTACAAGCCTTTCAAAAAAAAGCGAAAAAATCTTCTAGTTGTATGAAAATTTGTTCTAAACAATTTTGTGTTTGATATACTGCATTTATTCTTAATGGCTTGCATTGTGTATACTGAGAGGGGGATTGGTAACAGTAATATATTAGACTGGTTTTATTTTTACATCAGACAGAGCACAATATGTTAACTTTGTGTGCAATGCAATAGAGTGTTCCACAGGGTTATCACTGTGGATCAATCTTATTTAACTTATTTATTAATTATATCAATTGTTCTGAAGAATTCGAAATATATTGTGTCTGTTGCTGATCTTAAAGACTTTGTAATGATGACTGGTGACTTGATGACTTAGATTTGAACATTTCAAAATGTTCCATAACTTTTATTGAATGTAATTCTACTTTTTTCATAATTACAAAAAGCCAAAATGAATATCCTAAATATCAAATAAAGAATCTTGGAATGGTAATGGGCAGTAAATTAATATTTAAAACTTATTTACAAACATTAACACCCACAAATTTTAGAAACATTGATTGAACTTATGAAATATAGAATTTTGTCAATTAGTAGTATAAAATTTCTGTACATATCATAACACAGCTACCTTTTTATCTTTTGCAAATCTCTTAATTCATTTAAAAGAGCAATATAATTTTTAAAAGAAAGACTTTAAATCAGTGCAACACAACTACCTAAGCACCACAATAAGTTTATTATTAATTTAGTGGTATAGTTTCTTAAGTAGGAATTGGACGAAAATCAAATCATTGACGTTTTCCACTTGTCTTACATCATTTGTATGCTAATTTCTATTAAGTATTATTCGTATCTAATTAAAATTACATCTTAACTTACAATTTAAATTGTATACTGGTATACATAAATGTGAGATAGAATACCGAGATTTTCGTTTTTGAAGTTCCATGAAATCAGTTGTTTATGGAAAAACTATAAACACCTAAGCAGCAGGTTTTAAATGCTGCAAAGTCATTTCACGTTAAGGATTTATACTTTAATTTAAAATAAGACCATCTTTTAATAAACGCGTTGATAAACGTATTGAAGTTAGAGGTGGACATTTTGAGCAATTATTGTCAAAAAGGCATATTTTTTACTAATGTTTACTATTTTATTGTTTATTACAATTTTTAATTCTAAATAAACCCTTGTTTTTGACATTTCTAAATTATTTTAATTATTTCAACTATTAGCATTGGAAGTTTCAAAGCCAAATCTCAATAAATAAGAATTTGATACTAAAGATGAGATACCTTAAAGTACAAAAAAGTTATGTCATTTTCAATACAATCAATCTACGGCAGCTGGCGCCCTCTATGAACTATAACCAAAATGTGAACAAATTTGAATTCCTCTAAGCAAAGAACCTCAAACTCCAAAACTTTGTGTAGATATTTGCATTTATTAAGAAATAAATGGAAATAAACTAAAATTGCATGTATCTGTAACTTTACCTACGGTACTAACATTTTCATTCGCAGTTTTGAAAAAAAAAAAAAAATAGAAAAATCATTATTTCTGGTTTGAGTATTATTTTGTACGATTTTTTTTTGATAACTGGACACAATAAACTAGAAATAAGGAGCACTTCATATAAAGAATCGTACATAACCTCCGTGCAACAACACCCCCCTTCGGTGGTTTGTGATATTGCTCATTATCGAATAAATACATATCCTAGGAGATATGTGCTGCATATTAGTTATATTATATTACTTCTATGCGATACATATCCCCCGGGATATGCATATTGACAGCAAGGCTAATATGTAAAAATTGGAAGCTTCATTGAAAAGCTATTTGATTCTTTGAAATCGGCCAAAAACTACAGATTCTGCAACTTCCACAAGATACAGTAAAAATGTGATTATTGAGATTCGCATATTTTTTATAATGAGTACATACCCCCCAAGGTATGTACCGCAGTCAACTTGTTAACACCCTGTATCTCTTTAACTATCAACATTTGGACTAAGGTAAGTTCTGCTAAATTGCAATATTTTAGCCTCGGGAATCAACCCATGAATTTTGGCCCATTACCTCGGGACCACCCTGTATATATCTGTTTTGTTTTCCACCTGATTAGTTTTCATGTGTTAATCATTTTATAGTTACTGGTAAATTTGTTTTTTTTTTAGTCAGTACAGTATGAATTATTTGCTATTTTTTAGCATCGACATCTAAAATTGTAAAGGAAATCGTTTGATTACAGGGAAATTGGCGACTAAACCCACAGCTAGGCAGCTCACGTGGCTGACTGATGGTGTCAATGGCTAGCGGACCAATTGTGACAGCTCCAGTAATAACTGGTTCATTTGCCTTTTTTTAGAAAAAAATAAAATGCGTGGATCAGATTAGAAGATTTTCCATTTTGGCTGACAAATTTGAAATTACTTTGAAACCTTATTAAATTTTCATCTATAAAATTTATATTGAAAATATTTAGTATGAATCAGTATTAAAAAAACTAACCTCCTTGACCCTGTCCTATAGGACGAAAGCCTCTCCCAGAACCTATAAATTTTGCATCGGATGATAATACCGGATCAGTTGGTAAAGCAGGATACAGTCTAAATGGATCACCCCAATCATTCCACAGTTCATGACCCTGAGTGAATGGCAAGCTATAATTTCTCCTAAAAGCTGGGCTATCATAAAGAGGTTCTGAAGGACCTAAACTTTCTTCTTGTTCAACATCTCCTCCAACTTGCACCTGAATTGGTTGAAAAGTATCATTAAAAACACTTATAGCTGCAACAGTGTCAGCTGGAAGAGCTGGTATACCTAGACGTTCTCGTAATACTGCTACTATGGTGTCCAATGTACTTTGTACAGAAGCGAGATATCTCTCCCAAACTAATCTACCTTGTCGACGGTATAATAAAATATCTTCGTCTGGTATAGCTCTTAACAAAAAGTGTAGTTCGGTTACTCGGGTTCTGGTTAAAAAAATTACAACTCGTTTCCATTGAACAACTTCATCATAAGCTAATTTTACTTGGTCACCTCCCAAAATCACAGGAATGGCACCTAAAATTATTACAGAATTTCATTATAAATGTATAATGTAATAATAAATATTTCGATGAACATAAGAATGAAAAAACATATTTTGACATTCACTTTCTATCATATCTTACAATGTTGTTTGGCATAAATGCCACTCTCCCTCAGAAAAATGTTAAATTAAAAATGGAAACTATCAACTAGAAATTTTTTATTATAATATTGAATTTTGTATATTGTGTTCTTAAAAAGCATATGAAACTAAACTTACGAATTTTATATGTAACATTCTGTATATCATGTCACAATTGAATGGAATCGGGATTAGAGTGATACAAGGTAAAATAATTTTATGTATAGATCATATAGAAATCATTTATATTCAAAATAAAATATTTTACAGGGCTATCTCTTAGTTGGCACAGGAAAAGAACAGTTCTAATTCAATGGGTCGTCAGTACAGTATGTAGAGTAGTTTCAAAATCTCATGAGCCGGGAAATGCGCGAAAGGCGTGGCATATCTGCATAATTCTTCTAATAAGCACATCGTGAAAACATTGACTCAGAATTAGACCATGTGCCTCATTACAATCAGAAATGAACTAAGGCGCTCGGGCATCAATAAAGTCAACTAGCGAATGTTCATTATATACAGAGTGTATTTAAATACATCCTGTATATTTTTATTACTTACATTAAAATAATAAAGAATAGGGCATTTTATTATGATATTTGTAATCGAATCAAAGGCTTGTTTACGCTACGAGATCTCGAGATAGACTATGAATAATAGATGTAATCAGTGGCGGTTTTACCATAAGAGCTGCGGAGCTGCAGAACACATAAAATTTTATGTATTTAATCATATTAAATATCAACAAAATATTTAAAGAATCCAAATGTACTCACGCTAAAATAAATCTAGAAGCTTATATTATTATTTATTACGACGTGAGCGACGCTCCTTAATATATGCAACCTCATATACAAAATGTGTGCACAGCGAACGATTGCATAAAATTTTGCGGAGCTTTCGAATTAGCACTTCGCGGACACGACGAGACAGAAAATTCGGACAACCCTGATATGTTTCATGGACTCATAAATTTTAGTGTAGATCTTGACGACATATTAAAAGAACATCTAGCCACATGGGTATGACCGGGATTTTCTGTGATTGTACCGGGAATTAGCTGTATGGTCCCGGATTTCGGATTTGCACGTATAACACCCGGAATATAATATAATGTACATATATATAAAAAAAAGATAAAGAAAAAATCATAACACGGCGAGGAAAATTAAAATTCGTTGAATCGTTCGTAAATTTCACAAACGATTTTTTTGTTTATAAACAATATTTATAATTTATAATTTTATAAAATATATTTAGTTTAATCCAATTTATTTATACCATCAGTAGGTAATTCATGAATAGATATTTCAAAAATCGTTCTTGTGAAAATCTGTATTTTTGTATAAATGGATTGTTCCTTGAAATTCAGAAGTGCCAGGAAAACGCGTGACCTTGAAAATTTAAAAATTTTTCGTCTGCGGCGCCATTTAGGAACTCTCCGGGCACTTAATATCCCAGAATTCAATTCAACAAATGTAACAACCCTAAGCAGAACACATTCAATCAATGTTCACGCGCCGCCACTGGATCTAATGTTTTTAGGACGTAGAATAATTTAGGCAACGGTCGGAATTATGTTTCTGCACATATGAAGGTCAAAGCTCATAAGATTTTGAAACAACTCTAGGTGTTATTTGTATATGGTATAACTTTAGGTGGTGGTCATTTTTTAAGGGCAATAGTATGTGTTCTTCAGAATACTAATCTTATTTTTAAATCAAATGAATGAGTTATAATTCGTTTTTTTAAACTAAACTAACTCTTGCCTATGCTGCCACTAGACAGCTCCCAAACTCAATTGTATGTGCATGTTTATCAGTGTCGTCTGTTACCTTTTTAGCCAACTGTATGAAATGGAATGGCAGAAAGCAAAAATACAATAGGAAATAATTTTATTGTCTTTAAATGATTTTCCAATTTGTTATTGTAAAGTTGCCATATTTTTTTTAATGTAAATGCGGACAAAGCAGCATAATAAAATTTTCAAGTGTTTAAAAAAAATTTTGTATGATTTATAAGCTATGTTGGTATGGTATGTTGATCGAAATACATTACTAATTGTAAGTAAAATTAATATATGTTTTAAAATAATGATTTTTGCTGGTTTATAAAATATACATCATAATAAATAAATAAAAATATTAAATAATTTGAGACTTGAAATATATTTTGATTTCATTTTCAATATTTTTTTAAAGCACTGTGTTTAGTTTGTGAATATCAGAGTCACTACTTCTTTAGGTGAATATATTAATCTAGGTTCAGGCAAAAAAAACAGTCAACATTAATTTGACAAAACAAGAATAGCTGAATATGTCATCAATTTGTTTTATTACATTTTAGTTGTCAGTTTATCGGTTTACACGGTATTTGTAATAAGTTAAGTCATTTCACGACTTTCTGCATTAAATAGTTTTTACTAGAATCAAAATAGAATTTGTACAGTGTAGCACTGTGTTTTATTAAGTTTAATTTTATAGCACAATTTGAAGTAATCATCATTAGTTATTATAACATTAATATATTTGGAATTGATCAGTTTGACAAAATGCTTTTGTATTGTACCAAATTAATTTTATTTAAAACAACTTTTATACACACAGTTTACAACTTTAATTGTCACTGGGAAAACCGTAGGTGGGGAAAAGGTCAGGGGTCGGCAACAGAACCTGGCTCAAGTACCATTCCAAGTCCGCAAATGTCTCCAGAAAACATGGGCAGGCCTAGGCGCTGTCAGAGATTCAAGCAGTGGTGGTCCCCCATGGATAGCCTTCTGGGAGCCGCCATTGATGGGATTGCGGGCGAGAGCACACGACTGCACTTTCTAGAGTGCCGTTGAAGGGGAAGAAAGTCAGAGATAACCTCCTTTAACGAGGAGAGCCTACAATGGCTAAAACGAACCATGGCAGGCTTGGTGCCTTGGGAGGGGGCTAGACTCAATGTTCGTCAAATTTATCGTGTGGATTTCGGGGCATCCCGATGAATCAGAAATCATTTTACGCCGAGTGGAAATCCCGAATGGGGACTTGAAGACAAGGGCATGGAGGCTAATTAACGGTAAGGTTGAGGAAAAAGGCCAGACCCTTGTTCTCTCAGTTGAATGCGAAGGCACTGCAGAAAGAGGACTTCACCATGGTCCTTTTTAAAAACCTGGAGAAGGGCAGGGTAGATTTTGGACCTTCTGATGAAGATCACAAGGGATCAGCTTCTGAATCACCTGATCAAATTCCAGGTAATACCGGCGAACATTTAGCATAGTAGACTGGCATCTACCATAAACGTGGATTTAGTGGAGCCTTGGGTACATGGTTCCCAGATCAAAGGATTGTAGCTACCTACCTAAATAAGACACAAACTAAAACTTGTAAACAGTCTGGTCTGCCGAGGACGTGACTTAGCGTATAGAATGATGCTCCTGGGAAAACTCTTTCTGGAATCCAAAGATCTGAGAGATTAGTCAGCAAGGAAGCTTTTGGAAGGACAAAACTACTTGCTGAATAGGTCTGAACAGTGGGATGCACAATAGGCCTGATAAGGAGAACGTTGGCCTATGTTAGATGGCCTATATTAGAGAGATCCCCCTGAGCAACGTCACCATCTTCTTCTCTGTAATAGGTTGGTTAGCAGCTCAGATGGATTGATCTCCTAATGTGAGGAAATACAAGTGCTGTAGCTTTTTAAGCTACCCACCCTAAAATTACAAAATTCCAAGCCTGATAAGGCTGCGGAGCTTGGAACTTAAACAGAACCTAACCACAGGTTAGTAATCAGAAGAAAATGATGTTTACCACATTTCCAAATATTCCTATAAAATGAAAAAACTTCCCCATATTTTTTATACTTGTACGAAATCATATGTATAAACTGGCTATATAAAAAAATATAAAAGTAAAACGAATTGGGTAGGCAGTTATGATAAGGCAGACTGTTTTAATTGTGCCATCTATTAATGGGAAGTACAATTGGAATTTCATACAACTGTTGTCTTATATTAGACATATAGAAAGAAGTTGGATAAATAAGATCTTTTTGTAATAACTTGGTCCTCGACTTGCTCATATTTTATTATGTCGTAAGATTGATAATTTTTTACATTTAGGAAAAGCTTGTTTATCTATACATTTTTTTTATTTATTTGTTTGTTATTTGGGTGATCTAATTATTTACGTGACTATTTATTTTATATATAATGGGTATTAATCTCACCTGAGCGCAGAGCTTCATATACTCTGGCTTGTAATAACGTTGAGGTTAATAATGTGTTATCTGGTGCAAATATTAATACAAATGTAGACTCCTTCAATATTGTCCTTCTACTACTGTCTGTTCCACATAAAGTCCAATCTTGTGGCCCTACATCAATATTGTTATCACTTGCAGGTACACATTCAAATTCGAACAAAAATTGATCTGATGTATCTGTTTTTGCCAACTGCTGTAAGTGTTCAATTATGAATTTATCCAATCGCTTATCTTTTGCAATGTTAGTATCATCATTGTATGAATCTGTTGAGGGCAACTTCACCTCTTTCATTTCTCCTTGAAAGGAAAGAAGATACGTTCTACGAGCAGGGAGCATATTAGCACATTCTTGCCAAACATCTCCTCCTGGTGGTCCTAGTACTGGCGAAATAATCAAATCAAAATTTGGTCTGAATAAATCATAACTGAAAGTAGACTGCACTAAGATTGCTCTTCCTGTAAATAAATAATTTTTAAGAAGTTATAGTTCAATGTACCATTGAATTAATAAAATTAAACAAATGTATCATATTGATTTGATGCAGAAGCTTATTATTAACCACAAAAATCTTTGCTTCAATTTCAAGACTAAATAGAAACTGAAAAATCGATATCTCCTTTATTATAGAACATATCAAAACAAGTTATTTACAAAAATTGTAGCCAGGTTAAAACTGCACATTTTAAAATTATTTTTAATTAGCAACACTACTGCAAACTAAACCAATTGCAGCAATTCTCTCCCATTGTATGACAATAAGCATGCAATTTTATCCCTGCAACAAAATCCACGCAACTTTGTTGCCGCAACTAAATTGCATTGTCTGATACAGGCTTAAGTCGTTTAAAGATGAATAGTGATGAACGTGACAGAGTCACGGAAAGTGACTGCTGCTGTCTGTGATGTTATTTATTATCAATGAATTCCAGGAGAAATTATGAAAAATAACATGAATTTTTCGAAGAACGTGAAAAAATTTTCCTAGTTTATTTATCTGAAAAATTAAATAAGTTCAAGTCATTAAATGTATGAAGTTAGCTCTCAATGGTTAAAACAATGTTAATGCCCAAGAAGAACATTGATATTACCAAATTTCCGAAATTAATATATTTTCTAAAGAAAAAATCTATGGATAAGAAGTAAACAAATTGTTAACAGAAGTCTCGAACCACAATTATTTTGCTATAAAGGTATTTTTGATATTTTTTTAGTGATTGTATTAAAAATTTTGACAATTTGTGTGTTATACCTATACTTAGCTTGGGTGGCGCATAATGAATTAATAAAAATGATAGTAGATTCATTCCTAATACAAAAATGTGTGGCAAAATATTATACCTACCGAATATTCTTTTCGGCATAAGGTAAACACGGCAAATAAAATTATTAATGTAGAAAATAAACAAAACCAACCTGAAACTTCCAGATACGAACCCAATATTATTGATAACAAATAATATTTTGATTCCTAAATTGACTGGAACATCAACATTTAATAAAGTCATATTTTCGATATAAATTTATTACCAATAATTATTCTGTTCTATTCTACATGGAAAATTAGTGATAGTTTGCTTTATAAACTATGGACCAAAAATTAAGGAGTACTAAAATTTTAGGATAAAAGAAGGAAATTTAATTAATATTTTCGAAACCACTTGAGATATTTCAGTGATATTTATTACGTAGTGATAGTTTTTAATAAAGGCGCCTGTTTTTCAATATATACAAACATAATTTTTAGCTCAAACAGTGGTTAGCGTATGAGCACTGACTTTTAAAGAAAAAAATGGTACGGCAATGGTTTTTTTCCCAAATTAAATTATTTTTGAAATCCCTGTTCAATTCGAAAGATACAAACTCTCTTGTGTTTTTGTCCCGCGATGCGCCGTTTTTCAATAAAAAAAAACTTACAGAATTATTAATAATTTAATAGTAAAAATTAAATGAACAACAACTATTAACAACATACAACATTAACATTACAACTAATAACAAACTATTATTACAAAAATTGTTGAAAATGGCCTTCTTCAATAATATTGAATATGCATGCTTCTGCCCTGCTTCGCATGGAATTATTGTACTCTCGATGAAATATTTCCGGAGTATTTTTTATTCTATTGCATGCTGCAATTACTCTTCCTCTTAATTCCTCTACAGTATTAATGGGACTTGTGTACACTAGGTTTATTGCAAAATTGTAATCTTCAATAATTACATTAATTAATTCGGACAATACAAGAGGTTTTATTTTTCTACTTAAAAACGGCGCATCGCAGGATAAACATTCAAGAGAGCTCGTATCTTTCGAATTGAACGGGGATTTAAAAAATAATTTTATTTGGAAAAAAAAACATTGGCGTACCTACTACTATTTTCTTTAAATGTTTTTTATCAAAGGATACTGAATACATTTAAGTAGGTACACTCGTAGGTACATTTATTATAAGCATTGCATATACACCTCGATATAACACGATACAAGTTTTTGTTAGATTTCAAAGAAAGTTTTGATGTAAATCTATAAGTGGGTTGTATCAAATTGCTCGTAATAAAATGCTTCTTTTAGGTAAACCAGTGAATCTTGCAATTTAAAAAAAAGAATAAAATTAAATTTAGTAATACATATATGAAAGTTAAAACTAAAAAACAACATAAACATATGTCCGACCCTCTACATTAAAAAATTAATTTGGAAATAATTTTTTTCGACTTGATTAACAAGAACATACCTACTTATGATACGTATGTACATACATAGTTGTGTTCAGAATGACGTTGCAAACCAAAATAATGTAAAATATATTTAATATTTTCCATTTAAAAATCTAAAATTAATGTCATTACCGGTGAAACCGAAACTTGAAAAAAGTTGAATGCTAAATTCACGTTGGCGTTCTGTACGTATCCCGAGATGTATCCTCCAAATTTGTTTTATTTTTATTTAAAGACAAGTAGGGATATAACTGCATATAGAAAATTCAGGGACTTATACTACTCAACAATATTAACAGCGTAACCGCAACATTTTTTTTTATTCATTTTTTGGCTATAACTTAAGATATTTTTTTCTAGATAAAATAATTATATAACTGCTCTGCTTCAAAAACTGGAAAGAACACAACACATACTGGACGAAGAAATTATCATAACTTTTTTACTTACTGAAATTAAGATAGTATGTAATATTGACCAAAAATTAATAAATTGTTATGTTCTATTTTTATAAATTACCTACTTGTTAGTTAACATTATTTGTAGATTTCAATGCTCAAGTTTTATTACTCATTTCCTGACATATTTAATCCCTGCTCCAAATTCATTTCCCAAATGTATACAGGATGTTCGGAAAATGTGTTAGAAAATTTTAAGTGGAGCTTAAAAGAGGAGGAGAGGAGAGGAGAAAATGTCGAAAACTCCATGATTATCATGAAAGTTCTATTTTTATTTTTTTTGTCATGGTAAATTTATTTTTCAACCAATCCATCTGAAATTTGGCACAAAGTTTTAAATGGAACACTGTATATACAATAGATATTTTATTATTGTTATGATGTCGGGATGTCAGCATTTATATGTACATTCGAGTGTGCCTAAGTACCTATACCTACTTGGAGTGTGGTTATACGCGTACCTAAATAATTCTTCTTGTATTGTTTATGTAAAACATAGTAGTAAATCGTAGTAAATTATTTGTGCAGATTTATTTATTTTACTGATTGAAAAATGTAACTCAATCAGAAAACCTTTGTTATTCTAGTAAAAGTTAAAATTACAATCACTAACAAGCAAATACCAAAGTAGTAGTAGTAGGTATATTTAATAAACCACAAAAAATGCTGGGTATTTTCGATATTTTGGGAATTTACTGGGAATTACTTACGCGGATTTACTCGGAATTAGTTGGGAATCGCGGGCAGTTATTAGGAATTAGAGGGGCATTGAGTGCATTTATTGGGAATTACTAGGGCATTAAAGGAATTTATGGGGAATTAGCAGGGCATTGCGGGAATTTAACGACAATTAATGGAGCATTAGTAACAAAATGGGCATTGGTGTACAAAATTTTGGTCAGCGGTTTACCCCTCGAATTTTCTGGAGTACATTAAATTAATACACACCTACCGGTATCTATTGAAGAAAATATGTCTCCTGAATTGGCAGTAAGATCCCTTCTAGCTAAATTTAACAAAACATGATTTCTTCCATCTCCACCCCAAAAAGGTAATTTTTTTAAAGCATTAGAGTCCAGTGCAGGAAAATTTTCCATATTATCATTGTCTTCAGAGTCCTTTAAAGCTTCCCCAACTAATACTAAGAAAATACAAGCTTTCTTAGGATTATTTGTCAGATGGGGATTATAACCCAATGTTTGTTTCAAGGTAGTTTTTAAAAATCCGTCAACATCCCAACCCCTGTGCATTACAGGATGTTGATCAGGATCATAAAGGTATACTGGAAATCCTGATGTTAATGAACATCTAGAATGATCAAAACAAGAAAACATTTGACATCTTTTAGATAGATTTCTTGGTAAGTTAGTTAAAATTGCTGGAAGCACATCCGCAGTTAACATTTTCGGCAATGCTAAGTCAGGTGTATTCTGTTGTAAAGCCTCTCTTTGAGCCACTTGAGCCTGTTCAATTGATATTTTCAGTCTATTTAAATTTGTTTGCTGATGAAACAGTTCTTGTTTCAGTTCCTCTATATTTTTCGAGTATGTCTGTATTTCTAATTTAAACTGCTGCCTTTTTTTCTCAATATCACGTAGTTCACTTAAAACTGAACCTCTAATTCTAAGCAATTCTTCTACACCTACTCTTAAATCATCTACTTTAATAACATTGAGATCTTCAGGAAGGTTTTGATGTGAATGTGCACTGTGTTCTATTAAATTAGAATTTCTTTCCACTTTTGATAAATAAAAATGTGTAATAAGTGGTGTTAATATTAGTATTGCTAAAACCATAATAACTATTCGCGACAGTTTTACATGAATTAACCACTGGCAAATATCTTTATTATTCTCAGCATTTATTGTAACCATTTTCCACCCTTAATAATCACTCTTTAACAAATTTGAGGTATATAAATCCATACACAAAATGTACACATATTTGATATATTGTTATATGTTAACAGCTTGTATCCTTGTAGATGGTTGAAGTGGATTCCAACATTCTAACCTATTCAGAATTCAAAGGTAAACTTTATGCAAGTGTGCACAAATTTCATTTTTCATTAGTAATTTTTGTACATGTATATTTGTATTTGTATATTGATAGGTTTTTAGACTTGACTTAATAGACCTAACCATAGATCTTCTTCTTCCTCTTAATTTGTGTCTTTTACCAGTGAATCAGGGTTGTACTTGTTTAAGAACTAAACAATAATTGTACAAAGTTATTTTTTACAAAATTGTACTAATAGTTATTTATGGTACTAGTATGTTACGGTATACAGGGTGTCTCAAAAGTATGGAAACAGCACATTAACTTTCGAAAAATGCATTTTGAGTTAGTTTAAGGTATATTATAACAATAAGTGAGAGTAATTTTTTGTTCAACCCCCGGCCAAGGGTGAAAAAAGATAAAACAAAGGGGTTTTTCAAGATAACTCAAAAAGGGTAAGAGCTAGAAAAAAAAGTTCATGAAAGTTGTAAAGCATACAATTCTACATAAAAATGGCCTCTTGATTTTTTCTCGTACTATTAAAATTAACAGAGTTAGGGAGGCTAGAAGTTAAGGGAAGATTTCAGAAATTTAAAAAAATCATAACATACAGAAAAATGAATGAATTTTGTAATTTTTTTTTTCAATCTGCTCTAAAAAAGTGTAACTTTTCATTCCAGAGAAATAGACATATTTTTTAATTTTTAATAAGAAAGTTATAACAAAATCAAATTTTTAATCGTTAATTTTAATGATTTAACAAAACTAAAACAATGTTTTTTCTATACTATTCGATTGATTATTTAAAATAATGAAAAGTGGCATTCGAATTTTTTTATTACGTTGGTTTCTTAGACAGCTACAAATTTATTTACCTTTTTATCTTCTGAATTTTATTTAGCTCCTACGACACTGCAAAGACAAGACAAAGACAAATAAATAATGTTCGCTTTGTCGCACCATCGTACCGAAGTCGTGAACATAATATGCCTATGACAAAGATAGATTATTTCGTTCGCTATTGTCAATGCGCGTGCGTTAGTAATCGTGTGTTTTTTGAATTATTCTAAGCTCAATATCCATTGTTAATTTCAAAAAGGTAAATATTAATGAGGACTAATATTTTTGTTGATTTAAATTTTGTAAAACCTCGATATTTTTACGCATTCTTGTCTATGTAAAACGTGGAAATTTATTTATTAATACTTGTAGACTTGTAGTTTGAATTGTATTAATAATAACATAGTGATAACAATAACATAAATATATATCATATAATTTTTTGTCCAAAACATTAAGAAAACAAGAAATTTTCTTACAAGGAAACTATCCCAACCCGAACACTTCGATTTTCAAGATTTTTATATATGTTGTAGAACATAAAAGATTAAGAGACACGTATTTTTAAGTATTACACACACGTATTTATCGGCGGAAAAACATTTTTACGGGGTGAAATACACCCTCAAAGTTCGAGCCCAAAACAGTTTTTTCTAAATATCTGGGGTTCTAATCAATATTTTGAAATGAAACAAAATGGAAATTACTTATTATAAAAAACCAATATTTCGGAAGTGATTCCGTGTTTGGGGGTTGTTACTATCCTTATTTTTTATTTCAGAAAAACTACATTTTTTTTTATAAAAAATTCATATTTACTCAAAGAGAGTTAAAAATATGATTTATGTAAACAAATTGACAAAATTAAATTGACCAGTTTCGGGTTTTTCGTTAAAATTTCTTGTTTAAGGGGTGAACAACCCCTTAATGAGAAAAATGTCTATTCAATTAGAATCAACATTGTAAAATAAAAAAAATGCTTTTTCTCTGACCATACAAATAATTTTTTCTTTTAAGCCTAAAACGGNTTGAAAAACCCCTTTGTTTTATCTTTTTTCACCCTTGGCCGGGGGTTGAACAAAAAATTACTCTCACTTATTGTTATAATATACCTTAAACTAACTCATATCCAAAATTCAGCCAAGTTGACAAAATTTCGATTTAAAGGCTTGTTTAATTGGACTATAAAAGAATGTTCAACTCTTTCATTGTGAGTAACTTGCATATTTGTAATAATATGTTAAAATAAATTATGTGAAAACATTGGTATGAAGTTACTATATAAAGCTTTATGTATAAAATCGAAAGAAAGTTTATATCTTGGGATCAAATGAAGTGTGTCATTTTTCCCCAAAGATTTGGCTGTCTTATTTTTACCACACTTGACCCTAATTATAGCAGCTAAGTATTTATTCAAAATATTTTTTTCATTTTTCATTTACCTTCGAATACAAAAACTTTGTAATACACATTGTCGCGGATTTAGGTACCTAGGTTGGTTGTCTGTTGTCTCACAAACCACGGTTGTCTATTCTACTCCTCGTTCATAGCCCGACATAGGGTGTCATTACACGGATTTTGCTCGGTCTGACTAGCTTGCGGTGGAGTTAACCTACCATCTCCCCTTACCAAGTTTACCATTGTGAGTTCTAGTGTTGCTTAGGATTGATATTTCACGCTCTAATTGTTGTGGTTTGACCCAAGACGCATTTTGGACACTTGCAACTTTNCAAAAATTTTTTTCTTTTAAGCCTAAAACGGATTTAAACGGATACAAACCACCCCTCGTGTTCGCCCCAAAAATAATATTTCCGTGATAACTCGGGTTCTAATCAATATTTTGGAATGAAACAAAATGGAAATTACTTCTTATAAAAAAAAAACATTGTTTCACAAGTGATTCCGTGTTTGGGGGTTGCAACCCTTATTTTTTATTTCGTAAAAAATGTTTTTTTTGCACTTTTTAATAAAAAATTTATATTTGCTCAAAAAAATTAAAATATATCATTTATGTTAACAAATTGACAAAATTAAGTTGACCTGTTTTTTATCGGCGGAAAAACATATTTACGTGGTGAAATACAGCCTTAAAGTATGCCCCCAAAACAGTTTTTTCAAAACTGTTTTAAATATCTGGGATTCTAATTAATATTTTGAAATGAAACAAAATGGAAATTACTTATTATAAAAAACAAATATTTCGGAAGTGATTCCGTGTTTGGGGGTTGTTGCTATCCTTATTTTTTATTTCAGAAAAACTATATTTTTTTATAAAAAATTCATATTTACTCAAAGAGAGTTAAAAATATGATTTATGTAAACAAATTGACAAAACTGAATTGACCTGTTTCGGGTTTTTCGTTAAAATTTCTTGTTTAACAACCCCTTCATGAGAAAAATGCCTGCACGATTAGAATTAACATTGTAAAAATAAAAAGGCTTTTTCTCTAACCATACGAATAATTTTTTCATTTAGCTTAAAACGGATTTAAACGGATGCAAACTACCCCTCGTGTTCACCTCCAAAAATAATATTTCCGTGTTAACTCGGGTTCTAATCAGTATTTTGGAATGAAACAAAATAGCAATTACGTCTTATAAAAAAAACCTTGTTTCACAAGTGATTCCGTGTGTGGGGGTTGCAACCCTTATTTTTTATAGAGGAAAAAATGTTTTTTTTGCAAACTTTTATAAAAAATTTGTATTTGCTCAAAAAAAATTTAAAAGTATCATTTATGTCAACAAATTGACAAAATTAAGTTGACCTGTTTTTTATCGGCGGAAAAACATAGTTACGGGGTGAAATACAACCTTAAAGTATGCCCCCTAAACAGTTTTTTCTAAATATCTGGGTTTCTAATTAATATTTTGAAGCGAAACAAAATGGAAATTACTTATTATAAAAAACAAATATTTCGGAAGTGATTCCGTGTTTGGGGGTTGTTGCTATCCTTATTTTTTATTTCAGAAAAACTATATTTTTTTTTATAAAAAAATCATATTTACTCAAAGAGAGTTAAATATGATTTATGTAAACAAATTGATAATTAAATTGACCTGTTTCGGCGTTTTCGTTAACATTTCTGTTTAGGGGGGGGGTCTGTTTTGGGGGTGAACCTTAATGAGAAAAATGCCTGTACGATTAGAATTAACATTGTAAAATTAAAAAAAATGCTTTTTCTCTAACCATACGAATATTTTTTTCTTTCAGCCTAAAACGAATTTAAACGGATGCAAACTATACCCCTGACGTTCACCCTCCAAAAAAAGTTGATTTCTAAATATTTTGGGTTNTGCAGCATTAGCATTTCGCTGTGGTTTATTTCAACAAACCTTTTAAACTTTCTGTCTGTTAACGTATATACAATTTTTCAGACGATTTGGAACAGTGGTGTAACGCCTCAGCTCCATTTCAGAGGGAATCAATCTCCATTACGAGTAACTCCATAAAGTTTATTTTAAACTTGTTTGTAACCACCACAATATTTACCATTCGAATATCGTGACAAACGAAAAAGAATTGTATCTGAAAATCAATAAATCTAATGTACCATTCATCAACATTTTGATAAATATGTATAATAAATATATTTGTATGGATTTTTTGTCAAAATATCGTAGCAATTTTATAATGCTATATTTAGATGTTTAATATATCGTTACCTGAGAACCAGACTATTCTATCTCCATATTTTTCTTAAATGAAGATTTTGTCATTACATTGTTCCATGTCCAATACCATATATGCCAATATATTCCAAGTACGCCTATGTCACGTACTTTTCTGAATACAGACTGGCCTTTTTATTCCAAGTCCATTTAACCTTATAAATATTCGGACCACAATATTCTATGTCCTCTCGTCCAATGAGGTATAAGAAATTGACATCATGTGAGGACGTAGAACAAATTGGCTCAAATATTACATATTATTTAGAGCTTTTGTATTGCGGCTGCAAGTTATGACAAGAATTATATTGTTTTTAATGTTTTTTACGGAAATTACGGTCTATTTGCTATCAAAAATGCTAGAAGTAAAAAGCCATACAAACTTATTCAGATGTAAAAAGATACATTTTTGGACTTCAAATGTATATATCAAAATATATGCTCCTCTGTAATGTTCCATATACTAGCATAGTCCAGATTTCTTATGAAAATAATGTGAACTCCTTGAAGTATAAAATGAAGTTTAGCGTAAATAATTTACATATAGTAACATTTTGAAAGATAGTAAATCATTTTTAGAAGGCATTCCAGCTCCTGCAGTTCAGCCTCCTCCAGTTGACCTTCCTAAAAACAAAGGTTTTCATATCAGATCTTTGACAAATAATTTTTCTGCTGTAGACCCACAGTTTTGGAAATGCGTAATTAAAAAGTTTTAAACAATAATGCTTTTGTGGATTTTGTTTAAACAATGATTTAAATTTCAGTTGTTTATCTTTGTGTTACCTCCTTACAAATTGGCAGTTTAGTAGTATTATGTAAAATATGGATCTTTGCTTTGTGTTAAAATATCAATAATAATCATTAGGTATTCTAATAAAATTGTTTAATTTTTGGGTTTTAAAAATAATGGCAAATGGACATACAATTAAGCATGGTAACTTGCGAATGTACATATGTTTTAGTATAAATTATTCTATGTCCACAACATTTTTTATTTGTATATTTTTTTCAGAATCCATTATAAAAATATAGTTGCACGAGAAACCATAAACCTTTTCGATTTCAACGCTTTCATACTTTCATAATTAGCTCCTGTAATATTTAGAAAAATGGACATAGAATAGTCTGGTTCTAAGACGACGATATAACAGTGCATGCAATGCAGTGGTTGCTATACAGTACGAATGCTCGAGATTCGGTCAAGTACACACTCTGGCCAGACATCCGTGCTCTGGTTATTAAATCGCGGAAAACTTGAATTGGTGGTCGCACACTGGCTGGGTAGATTCCGCTAGGCGGCCTAATGGTCCGGTTTAGTTCTAGAAAAACTGTGTCCTCAGCGAGTACAGCCATCTCCGAGTAGTTGAAGGTCTGAAACTGATATGGGTTATTTAGGGGTGTGAATTTGAAAAATAGGGGCGAAAAATTTATCTCCTTATATCTGGCGGCAATCGCGATATCTGCGGAGCCTCGCGAGAAATATTATAAAGTGAAAAATTGAGTTTGCTTGTGAATTCTATTTATGTTAGGACGAAATTATCAAAGCAAGTTTATCTTACAGTTAACTAACTATAAGCTTATAATGTGATTTGTTTTAATTAAAACGTACGAAAGCCAGCACATTTTAATCTTCTAGTTAGTTAATTGTAATATAAACTTGCTTTGATAATTTGGCCCTTAGCGGAATTACTTTATGTGTTTTAATATTTCTTTTACGGTGGGAACTGCGTTATATGGCTCGTTTTGTAAAATTGTTGTGAATATCCGAAAAATAGGCAAATTTTGAAGAGATGGTTGATGGTGAATGTATGTGGCGGCAATCCAGGACGGTGGTCATTATTACTGTGATGACCTCATGACTCTCCTCCTTCTTCGTCTTCTTCTTCTTAATCTTCCTGTATTTCAGGTGGAGACGGATTACCTGGTGGTACTGGCCTTAACTGATCGATGTGGTACGGGAATTGGCGACCATCGTAGATTTGCGCTGTCTTCCTGAGCCTTTGGGAAACGGTTCTGCCCAAGCTTGAGCAAAGGGGTCTGAGGGGTTGTACTACCTTACTATAGGGGTTAAAACATAACAGAATAAGTGCATTTAATTCTAGTTGGTGTTTCTAAGAGAAAAAGTGGCTCCCATTATATTCTACAGAATGTTCTTAAAATATTTAAAAATATTGTTTCCTATTTGTAAAAGTTTGACGGTCCATAGTTCGAAAAAGAAGTTTTTGACATATAAACTTTTTTATTTTTCCTTAGAATTATCTATTTAAGGTTTGTGCACTTCCTCGTGGGATAGCCTGTATAAGAAAAATATTCCTAACTTTGGATAACTAAAACGTTTCAGTTTTTACACGTTATAGTGTTATACCCTGTATAGGGCATTGCATTAAAACATGTATACATTTTCTCCAAGACTTTAATACAAAACACTCTCTATACCTAATTCTAAATTTGCCATTACATCATCCCCTTGTACGGATATTACCGAATATTATCCCTTCCAAAATGAGCAGCAATGTTAAGAGGAATAATAATAATACCTATATCATAAGTCCCTACCTTTGAAAACCCCCCCATAAAATGTATTTAATACTTTCTTCATGACTTTACTTGACTATTGGCTAAATTATTTTATTTAGTCTGAATTCAAAGGTCGTTGTTACTACTAGGTTTTATATTTTCAAAATAAAAATGTACTCTGTGTCTTGTTTGTGTTGTATCATTTTGTGCATGGTAAAATTTGTGATTACAGAAGGAGCTGAGAAAAATTCCACATTTGTAACACGTAAGTGAAGAAGCACAAAAAAATTTTAAAGTTATTTGAATCGGATGGGAATTAAAAACATATTTATGTATGCAGTCAAAACAATTAAAGTTCCTACAAATGTTTCGATAAGTTACAGTTTCATTAGAGAGAAATCGGAAATTATATGTAGACATACATGTGATATGATATCATTTTATGTTTTCTGACTGCCATATTCGTTTTCCTTAACACTTTTTGTTACAACTACATCATATGCCTGTATAAATCGTGCTAACTAGATGAAATTTTTAAAAAATTATTAGATATTCAAAATATTATAAAAAAAAAATAGGTTGATTTAACTGCTCTTTCTATGGAAAATTAAATTCTCAATTCTTGTTACCTATTGGAAAACATTTTCTTATATATTATAAACTAATTGGGTGAATGTCCAATAAATAAATCTAATCTATTTATTTTCAACCAAGAATTCGTACTCAAAAGTAAGGGCAGGCTCAAAATTTTGCAGGACAAGTTCAGCTTACCTGGTTCGTGGTTGCGACCTTGTAGTCAAGTTCAAACCACCCTTTCTCTTGGCATGCCGTATTAATTTACACTTTCTGATTATTTTTAAAGTAAATGAGAAAAAGCCAGAATGCAGATATTAAATTGAGAATACTTGTAAACGCTGCATCAATCATTTAGTTTATCAAGAAAACATTTTATGACTACCTATGCCACTTGCTTATGAGTTTGTTATGGATTTATAAGGTTATGTTCCGGATATCAATTTTTATAGAAATGAAAGATGTAGAAAACTTTCTGTCAAACATAACATTCTGTTCCATCGGTCGGTGACATTTTGTCATTGCTCATTGTAAATTATTTATTAAATTTGAAATACAAATAAGTCATAGTCTGTTTTAAATCTAGATAACTACACCTTTATTATCGCACTTAAAATTTTGTTTATTTGTGTACATACTTAGATATTATTAATATTTTAATAAGATTAAATAAAAATATTTTATATAAATACCTACTCTTTGAACTGTATTCCTTTTTGTGCTGTTATATAACCGTGGAATTACCTACGGCATGATACAATAAAACGTAACTTGTTATATAAAGCATTGACACACAAACGAGAATGAGGAACAATACTTTTACCTTCAAGCTGTCTGCAAGTTACTGATGTATACAGCAACATATTACGTAACTTACTGGGATATATCTTTACCACTCCCAGTAAGACTTGAAAACACATGAGAATACGAATATGTACATACGGACATGGTTAAAAAAAACATTATTAGTGTAGTAAATTGCGATATTTGAGATTCAAAATAAAGTTGAAAATTAAATTTTAAAAGTGTATTCAAATATACAGGATGATACAGTATTGAAGCATGGCGATGAAGTTTTTTTTTTTTTATAACACAGCCTATATATTTTTATTTAAGTATTTGAAATCATAATCATTAGAGCTGTCACAATCGGTCCGCTAGCCATTGGCGCCGTCAGACATGCGGGCCGATTTCCCTGTAATCGAACAATTTCTTTTACGATTTTAGTTGTCCTTTGATGCATAATTGTGTGTAATTAGTTGAGCGTAGTTAGTGCTAAAAAACAGCAAACAATTCATACTATAATGACTACAAAAAACAAATTTAAAGTGTCTATATTAGTATTATACAGCGTGGTAAAAAAGTTCTGCATAAAATTAATATTTTCGTTAAACAATTTTTTTTTCGAAAAACGGTGAGACCCGTCGATTTTTATTTGATCCAGGGCACCTTGTTATGTGGAAAATTTTTTTTTCGATAATCCACTTACGGCAGCGATGACATAATTTTTTTTTTAAATGACAACGCATATTTTTTTCGTTCGAAATTGATGACAGTGATAATTATCTAAACAACGGTGTGAAAATTGTTATGTAAGACATCGAAATTTTCACACCGTTGTTTAGATAATTATCACTGTCATCAATTTCGAACGAAAAAAATATGCGTTGTCATTTAAAAAAAAAATTATGTCATCGCTGCCGTAAGTGGATTATCGAAAAAAAAATTTTTCCACATAACAAGGTGCCCTGGATCAAATAAAAATCGACGGGTCTTACCGTTTTTCGAAAAAAAAATTGTTTAACGAAAATATGAATTTTATGCAGAACTTTTTTACCACACTGTATATTATCATATAAAAACTATTCAGGTGGAAAACAAAACAGAAATATTTTTTGGAATAGAAAAGAATATTATGAAAGTAAAGAAAATAATGAGTTCTAAAAATACCTATTTATGCTGGTCCCTTCGTTTAAATGTTTGATATTTTATTTTTTTTGTAATAAATTAATAATGAATTAATAAAAAAGCAAGGAGTAATAAATTATGTACTCAGGTCAGTATTACAGCTTTATCACTAGTACATTTGACCAACAAAGCGGCACTCAACACGTGTTATTTCAAGTGTATGTGGTCATGGGGAAAGTTAAATATCGAACAATACTTTTACTAAAAAAATATAAACAATAATGTAATTCAGTATATACATATTTGCATATGTATAAAAACGTTTAAAATAAATATTAATAAATATAAAATAACAAGTATTAAACAGTACACAACACACACGTACAAAGAAACTGGCGAAAACCAGAAGACTGAATTTATGTTTGATTTAATCTTCATAATGATTGCATGTAAGCTACCATTTGATATAGTAAATAATAAAACTTTTCATTCCTACTGGAATAAATACAACCCCGAGTAGAAATTACCATGTTGAACCAGCTTGGAAATAGATTATTTAATTATGCAAATATTACATCAGTAATAAGTTTCACTGAAACAAGGGCAGAAACATACCTGATGATGCGATCTATAACGGTTCCCATCCAGATTGTGGAACCGATGGCAACGATGCGTAAAACAATTTACGTATTTTACAACAATACAATGACATAAATCATATAATCATTGTTCACTTTATTTTATGTTGATGATCCGCACCGCACGCCTTTGGTGCGCGATCAATAATCATAATAATAACTCAGGTTTTTTATAGGACGCATTATAACATAGTCCAAATTTAATAGTTTTTGATAAATAAGAAACCTTCTTTTCGCTATTTAAGATATTTTTTTTGACTAAATTTTCTTTGATAGAAAACTATACAATATTGTTTGTAGAATTTTTTACTTAGCTCATTTTTGGAATAATACTTTATATTTTTTCATCTTTTATTGATTTTAAAGTCTCTACTGAAATTATACATTTTTTTTAATGAGAATATAAAATAAATCTCTATCGGGAAAGTCAATTTTTTTCAAATATCAATTAATCGAAATTTTTCTTTTATACATACCTACTTCATTGGTAACACTTTATGTGTATATTTGCAGTCTTTCTAAAAACGCAACCTTATACAGAATACCTTATCTTAAATGTCACTGCTACTTAATATTTCTACAATTTCTACAATTTAGGTCTTTTCTGTAAGATAATGAAATGAAAATAGTAGGTAATAATTATACCATAAGGGTCTTTAACTATCTTAAGTTTTATCAAAATCAGTTATTAATAAGGATAGTTTTCTAACTACCCTTAACAGATTTTTTTTTTATTCCTTTGAATTATTATCAAGCAAATAATATCACATGGTTGTAAAAAATCGAATGAAATGCAAAGTCAAGCACAAAGATTACAACTCATGATAAAGATGAATGATTACCAGTTAGATGTTTCAAATAGTTCTGCAGGACAGCACACAGGTTCCGTATCAAGAAAAAAAAAAAGAACTAACCCTCTGCGCCAAAAACATCAGTCAACTACATTATCATTATTGGTCAGTAACAAATTACCTTCCTTAGACGTTTTAACTAAAAATAGTCATGTCATCATGTCACAAGTTTATATTGGACAACAAATTGCATAGGCTTGTTGGTAGACTTCTAGGACAGATGTCACCTTGAAACGTAAGAATTTAAATGATAGCACGCGAAAGTGACAATCAGGGAGACTAGACAAGGAGCACGAACTCATACGGGAAAATTGACAAAATTTGTCGAAGAAATGGCAGAAGTTGGGGTGCCGCTAGTGTTCCATATGTCCCAAGTGAATGTAGCATAATAAATACGAGTGAAGTAAGCAAATAACCAATTTTATTTTATAATGAGTTTAGTAAATATATCGGGGAGGTATACTAACCTAAAAACTAAAAGTCAAGTCAATAATTATTACAATTTGTTTTTAAATAAAAACTTTCGAAAATAATTTAACGATACATATGGAACACTAGCGCCCTCTTATTTTTGTAAGATTTTTGTTTACATGGAGTTCGGGTTCCTTGTGTAGTCTCCATGGTGACAATCATTAGTATCATTACAACGAAACTGTCACCATGAAAGATGCCTACTATCTGAAAATGTCAAAAAAAGCTATTGTTCTGAGCCATACATTATTTACAAAATAATTATTTCTGACTAAACTACGCAGAATTCGGAAAAAAAGTAGACATTTTTTCTTCAAAAAAGTCTAATTCGTTAAAAAATAATATTATTTGCTTGATAATTCAAAGGAATAAAACAAATTCGAAAAATTTATGTTAAGAGTAGTTAGAAAACTATCCTTATTAATAACCGATTTTGATGAAACTTATGATAGTTAAAGACCCTTATAGTATGAGTATTACCTACAATTTTCATTCCATTATCTTAATCAGAAAGAAAGTTATTTTAAAAAATCCAAATGATAAGACCCCTTTGGAGGCCATACCTCGGTAACTATGTTCCGGTGGACTAATGTTTATAGAAATTTTTTTTACTATTTTTGGCTCTACTTTCACCTCTTTAAATTTTGTACCAACTTTTCCAAACACACTGTATAACAATAATATTGTATAACAGTACGAAGACTTATGACGGTAAAATTATATGGACACTATGGATGATGGTATTATACAATAAATTATACATGTCATGTATTACTACTTCGTTTTAATAATCTAAAAAATAACGTTACTAGCTGAATGTATTA